AACTTGATATTGTATTTCTCGGAGAACGTAGTGCCGTAAGCTGGCCAACGGCAAGCTGTAGCAAGGCTTTGCCCCGTGGATCACCATAACCTGCCGCCGCCTCATCGGCCTCCTAGATACGAAAGCCCCCCTCCCGACTGCGCAACAAACGAGGAGGCAAATCCTGCAACTGCCGTGTGGGCATCAAGGTCCGCATGGGCATCCCACTCGGCAGAGAAAACATACTTCAGCGCAGCAGGGAGAGATGGGTGGGAGGGTCGGGTGTCAGATGTGGCGCGCGTGCTTCCAGCTCGTCCATCCTTCTCTCTCCTCTCCTTTCTCTCCTCTCTCATTTTCCCTCCTCCTCCTCCTCCTCCTCCTCCTCCTCTTCCTCCTCCTCCCCCCCTCCTGGTTCGTCAGTCTTTTGTTTTCGTTCTCTCCTTCCTTTTGCTGCTACCTCTCTTTTCTGCTTCCACGTGCTCTCTTCACCGCCCTCCGCTGGGCATGTGGGTGCCCCGCCCATCCCCGCTCCTGGTGGCTGCCGTCCGCGGCGCAGCCCCCCTGGATGGCACCGCGTAGCAGTCCGTCCATCTCCCCGCCTTCCCCTCGTGGGAACCCCGCCCGTGCGTCTTTGCACTGGGCTCCGCCAAATCTCAGGCTGTGATGCCGTACGCCGGCTTTGGGATGGCATGCGCACTCTGCCCCCCGCCTCTCGCCTAGCGAGTCGCGCGCTGGGCCGCTTCCTGCTGGTGCCTGTTCCCGCAGCCCCAGCGCTTTACAGGTGGTCTTGCACCTGGCTGCAGCTTGCGCTGCCCAGTTTGGGTGTCGCCGACGTTGCGGCTCACCTCCCGCTTTTGCCCTCGGCTTCCGCCCCGCCCGTGCTACCTGGCACGCAGCACGGCTCTCGCTGAGCGTGCGTGTTGCCGCCATCTTCCCCTGCCCCCCTTGCGGTCGCCTTCCTCGGCGCCCCCCAGACGGCCCCCGACGGGCCCGTCCCTCTCAGTCCCCTCGTGGGAGCCCCGCCCGTGCGTCAGTTGCATTGGGCTCCACCAAGTCCCAAGATGTGATGCCGTGCGCCGGCTTCGGGCTGGCGTTCGTTTCTCCATAGGTTGCCCCTGCCCCAGCACCGTGCCCGCGCTGCTTGCCGCCCAGCGGCCCCGCCACTGGCCCGCCGCCGCTCTCCGCCTTGCGGCCGCTCTCGCAGCTGCTGCTGCGCCAGCGCACTACGCCCCTGGCCCGGTGCTGGTCTCTACGCCGCTGCCTCCCCCCCGCCTGGCGCCCCGGTTCTCCGGCCGCCCACTGCTCCCCCTGCCCCACTTGCCGGGCTCCGCCCGCACTGCGGCTGCTGGCCCCGCCCCTGGGTGCATCGCGATGCCGCCACGCGACAGCTCCCAGGAGCTGCCCCGCATCCTGGCCGCCCCTGCGCGCTCGCCGCAGCCCCGCTGCGTGAGAGTGCCCTCGCGCCTGGCTCCCTCCCTCCGTGGCCGCCCCCTCGCATCCCTTTTCTCCTCCAGCATGCGGGTTAGTTCGCGTCGCCGTGTCCCAGTCTCGCCCAGAGGCGCGTGCGGATTGCGTCTGCCGCGCTGCGACGTAAAAAGCTCACTTCACTGCCGCCCGGTGGGAAAGTGGCTGCGCCCCCCGCGCCCCCCCCCTCCGCTGGCCCGTCTTGATCAGTCGAGTCCTCGGCGCCGTTTGCTGGAGGAGAGAGACTTTCGCGGGGAAGGCGCCCTAAGTCGGATTGGCACCCGAACCGCCAGCGCGGGGCCTCTCCATCCTTTCTCGTTTGCCGATGCCCGCGCGTGAGGCTTCCGTTGAAGTGCGAGGTCTTCTTTTTGGTGGCCAGCCGCTGCCCGCGGCATGTTTTTGTTTAAGTACGAGTCTCGACTGCATGACCCCAGGTTTGTTGAATCGCTTCGCTCATTCCGCCGGCCCATCTTGCCTCGCCTCGTGGGGGGCCGGGTTGGGGTCTCTTAGGGCCTCTTGGGGGCCTCTTAATTAGGGCTTCTTGGGGTGCCTCTCGGGGGCCTCTTGGGGTCTCCTGGGGGCTTCTCGGGGCTGAAGGCTGGATTTTTTCGGTTCCTGGTCCTGGGCCTCTCTTGGGGCCGTTTTGGCTGGGACCCTCTTGAGACTCTTGGGCCATCTTGGGCGCCATTTCGGTTGAGTTGGGGCCATCTTGGGCGCCTCTTCGGTTGTCTTGAGGCCATCTTGGGACGTCTTGAGGCCCTCTTGGAGGCTTCTTGGGCCGTCTTGGGGCGGCCTTGGGGGCTTCTTGGGCCGCCTTGGAGCGTTGGGAAGCCGACAAGGCGAGAACGCCAAAACCTTTCAAAAACCATCGTAAAGTTGACGGGGCCCTCTTGGGGCTCTCTTGGGAGGCCTCTTGGTGGCCTCTTCGGGGGTCTTGTACGCGTCGTGGGCCGTCTGGAAGCCATCGTGGGTGTCTCGGGCCATCTGGAGACCATCTTGAGCGTCTTGGAGCGACCTTTAGGCGACTCGGGGCCTGTTGGGCCGTGTAGGGGGCGTCCCAGCGCCCTCTTGGCGCGTTCCTGGAGCGGCCTGGGGGAGTCAGCCGGGCATCGCCTGGGCATCTCCCGGGCATCTCCCTGGCATCGCCCGGGCATCGCCTGGGTATTGCTTGGTTGGGCATTGCTCGGGCATCGGCCGGGGTACTTTTAGTCCAGGGGTCCCCAGGAGCCGCCACGCGCGCGCGAACGAGAAATATTGTTAACCTGTTGCCGGAGATTTTAGCACGCCTCTGGCCCGTTGGGCCGGCGAATTTTCTTCCGTTGAAGGGTGTGCGGGAAGCCTGTTGTGTTTTGTTTTCTCTTGGGGCCTCCCCTCTCCCGTTGCGGTTCCCAGTGGGCCCCCATGCTGTGTCCGCTGGTGCTGCTGCGTGCTCCGTCCCCCGCGTGTCGCTTCGGGTGCTGCTCCGCTGTGCCTCTGTCGCTGCTGCTGGTGGTAGTTGGGTGGGCCCTCCGATCCGTCTGGTTGCGGGTCGTCGGCGGTTCGGAGCCTTCGCTTCTTGTCGCATGCGCGCCAGGGCGAGCAAAAAGGCCGATCCACAGAGTACCCTGCGGCTCCCCCTGCTGCACCTCTTGCCTCTCTCGCGTGCTTCTTCTTCTTGCCTCCCTCTGCCTGATTCAAGCTTCGCGCGGCCCGCTTAGCTTCGACCAGAAGAGGTGCGCTCTCGACCCGCGGATCCAAAAGTCTCTTCTTCCTGCTGCCGTTCCCTCTTCTCAATTGGGCGTGCGCCCCGCCGCCCGACCTGAACGGACCAAAAAGGCACGGTTGTGTGCGCGCTGCGGTGGGGGAGATCACTCGTCCTCCCCTTTCTTCCCCCCTCCTCCTCTTTCCTCCCCTGTCCTCCTCCTGCCGTGGCGCGCCCTCTCTCTCTCTCTCTGTCCCTGTCTCTGCCGAGATGGCCGGCCCGCTGCCCCTCTGCTCGGGCCCGCGTGGACGGCCCATGGGGGGGTGGGGGTGGTGGGGGGGGGGGGGGGGGGGGCGTTCGCCGCCGTCGTGGAGCCCCGCTCCTGGCCCCTCGGCGCCTTGGCGCGCTGCCGCGGGCGGGCTGGGGCGCCGCGCTCCGGCCAGGCCGGCAGGGGCCCCCGCCCGGCGTTCTGCGGGCCGTCCCTGGCCCCTGCGGCTGGGGGGAGGGCGCCGGCGAGGCCCGAGGTGCCGTCCCCGCTTGCACCCGCGGTGTGCCCTGTGTGGGCTCCCAGGAGGCATCCTCTGTCTCTCCTCCTTGTCTCCTCCCTCTCTCCAGTCCTTTTCCTCCCTCTCTCCTCCCTCTCTCCTCCCTCTCTCCTTCCTCTCTCCTTCCCCTTTCCTCCTCTTCCCCGTCGTCTTCTTCTTTTCCTGTTTCTTCTTACGTATTTTTCTTTTTCTTCTTCTTATTTTTCCTCCGCCTCCTCCTTTTCCCCCTCCTCTTCCCCCCCTCTCTCCTCCCTCCTTCCCTGTCCTTCCTCGTCCTTCCCCTCTCCTTTCACTCCTTGCCTCCTTCCTGCCTCTTCCCTCCTTCCACTCCGCCGGCTGCGCATTGGAAGCCGTTGTCCAGCGAGGGGGCCCTCCCGAATAGATCGACAGACCCTGCGCCGAGCTGGAAGGAGGAAGGGGATGTAGAGTAATGATCGTAAAAATGATGATTCCAGCGATTCACCTTGATACCAGGATGCTAAGAGGGTCCCGAGAGGCTCGTGGAGGGCTCCCGAGAAGCTCCTGAGAGGCGATCGGGCGGGTCCTCACAGGGTCTTGGGAGAGGCCTCAAGGTGGTCCTGACAGGCTCGTGAGAGGCTATTGGGAGGATCGTGAACGTCTCCCGAGAGGTTCCGCAGAGGGTCGGGGGAGTTTCTGAGAGGGCCCCGAGGGGCTCGTGAGAGGCAGCTGGAGGGTCCTGACGGGTCTTGCGAGGGTCCTCGGAGGGTCCTGGCAGATTGTTGCGACAGAGTCCAAAGCGAGACGCTATCAGGCAATATGCATATGGATCTTTGTATACAGTATACACACGTGCATTCATGCTTATACATCACACATATTTAGATATGTACAGCGAGAAAGAGAGAGAAAGAGAGAGAGAGAGAGAGCGAGAGAGATACCATACGCAGGCAAAGAGAGAGAGAGAGAGAGAGATAGAGAAACAGAGAAATAGAGAGAGAGAGAGAGAGAGAGAGAGAGAGAGAAAGAGAGAGAGAGAGAGAGAGAGAGAGAGAGAGAGAGAGAGAGACAGAGAGAGGAAGGGAGAGAGGGAGAGCGAGAGAGAGAGAGACACATAGAGAGACAGAGAGAGAGAGAGCGAGAGAGAGAGAGAGAGAGAGAGAGAGAGAGAGAGCGAGAGAGCGAGAGAGAGAGAGAGATAACACATCGTCGAGAAAGAGCGAGAAAGAGCGAGAAAGAGAGAGAGAGAGAGAGAGAGAAACACAACGGCAGGAGGGATAGCAAGATGGAGGAGGTAGCAGGGGAGGACAGAGGGGGACGGAGGAGGGGAGAGGAGTCGGGAAGCGGGCGCGTCCTCGCGCGCGCCTGCCCAGCATTGGACCACCTTCGGCGAGGCCGCGGAGAGCGCCCAGCCGTCTGTGCAGGCCGGGCCCTCCGCTTGGACCACCTTCGGCGGCGGCGCGGGAGCAGGCGCCCACTCTTCTTTGCTCGTCTGATGTTAGCTGTGTTCTCGTGTGCGGTTTCTTCCCCTCCCCCTTCCGCCCTCGTCCTTCTGCCCCCTCCGCCCCTCTTCCCCCCCCAGCCTCCCCCCCTCCGCCCTCTGCCCTCCTCCGTCCGCCCTCCGACCTCCTCTTTTTGCCCCCCGCCTTCCGCCCTCCCCGCCTCTCCCTCCCTCCTCCTCCTCCTCCTCCCCCCTCCGCCCTCCTCGTTTTCCGTTCTTCCTCCTCGTCCTCCTTCTCCTCCTCCTCCGTTCTTCCTCCTCCTTTTCCTCTTCCTCCGTTCTTCCGCCTCCCGGACAAGCCAGGCGCCCTTCAGTACACAATGGCAGGACCTCGCCAAGCTGGCTCCGCAGGCTCCAGAGACTGGGTCGCTGCGAGAGAAGGGGCACAGCACAACATGCAGGTCGACGTGGAAGCGGTGGGCACGGTGCTTCAGCAGCAGGGCCTGGGCGAGCAGGCTTTCGTGTTGGCCAAGGCGCTTGCGGCCAGCATGGGCCATTTGCTGCTGGCGGCGACCAAGGATGTGCACATTGAGCTCTCGAAGGGCGCTCCCGAAACTCGTGGGGGCGCAGTGGGAGGCCAGGGGTTGCTGCTGCTGCCGCAGGCCCCGCTGCCGAGTCCCTCGGCGTCGACTCGGTCATTGCCCAGGCCAAGGAGGAGGAGGAGGAGGAGGAGGAGGAGGAGGAGGAGGAGGAGGAGGAGGAGGAGGAGGAGGAGGAGGAGGAGCTGCGGGCCTCCTTGGAGGCGCTGCATCCAGGGGACCTTGCTCAGCATGTGCCTAAGGATCTGGATGGCCTTCGCGCTTCTGCAGGCAGTCTTGCGGCCATTCCTCTGTTCAGATATGCCACACAGCGCCTAGCAGTCGTGCAGGCTCCATGTTGAAATCCCGCGTGATGGTAGAGCGTTGTCTGTCGCCAGCCAAGAGGTGGACGGGCTCCTTCCCGTGGTAAGAGGTGCCCTGAGGAGGCCCACACCAGGGCAGACCTCGAACGATTTCCTAACACCTCGCCTCTGGAGTGGTCCTTGGGAGTGATGCCGCGCGTGCTGGTCCAGGCGTTGCGGGCATCCGCATAATTGCCCGTCGGTCCTACAGGCCCTTCAGCCTGGATCTTGGGAGTGCCGAGTTTAATCTTGCTGAAGGCTCAAATGGGATCGCTTCAGGTTCGAAGTCGCCACGTGGAGCTGGGAATCCCAGGGAAGGCGGGGCGGCCCAAGTTCACCGTCGCCGCGTGCTGGACGCAGGCCACGGGGAGGAGTGACCTACCCGAGTGGTCCTCATCCGGCTGAACCGCGGAGCGTCGTAGGACGGGGGGCAATGTCCAGCCAGACACCCAGATGTTACCGTGGGGCCGTCATTCGAGATGAAGTGGCTACGGGCGTTGACGCGGGGCCCCCTGCGATCGCGAGCGAGGCGCCCCCTGGCGCGGGCGCCGTCGGTCCCGCGGTGGCTGCCGGTGCGTCGTCGGCTGCTGCCTCCAAGTGTGCCTGTTTAGGCGTTGAAGGCATCCGCGTAATTGCCCCTGGGGGGTCCTGCTTCGCGTCCTGGGTCAGGCGTTGGGAGCGCCCGCAAAAGTGCCCCAGGTACTTCGGCTGCCGAGGCTCCCGCGACCCGTGGATCCCCTTCCAGTCGATTGTGAGGGCCCCGACTTCGACCAGGGCGAGTTCTATGGCCTGAGCCGCGGCCTCGCGTCCTCCTCAGTTTCTGGGTCGGCTGGGGCCTCTTGGCGATGTGGGTGTTCGTCGGCGAATGTCCTTGCGCGCGCTGGGCTGTCGCGCGGGGCTGGGGGCTTCTCCCGCGAGTCTTGCGCGGTAACTTCAGAGGCAACGATTGGGGCGAATGGCCCAGGGAGAGCAATGCATGTATCCAGGCGCGCCGATGATCCATGTCTTCGGCGAGGCTCCCGTGCCAATGCGTGTAATGCCCGCCCCTGGGCTATTCGCCCTTGTTCGAAATGGGGCCCAGCTCGGCGCGGCAACTTCCCGGGCCGAAAACCCGGTGCAGTGCGGCGGCGTCCCGGGTCGAAGGGCGGCCCCGCTCGGCGCAGCAGCGCCCGCGGTCGAGGCGGACCTCGAGCGGGAGGGCGTCGTCGCGACGGCGAGCGTGGAAGGGGCCCGGGCCCCCCAAAGTCTTCGCGGGAATTTGCAGGTCCCTGGTTGTTCCGTAGGCGCGCTAACGGTGTGTTGGCTAACGGCGGAGTAGGATAACCAATTGTATGAAGGTGTGGTTCATGACCAAACCGACTGTGGGAACGCGTGGCTCGTGTTTTCCTACAACTCGCGATGTCGTTTTCATTCGATGCATATTTGAAATGTAGGAAGCGGTGCTTCGTGATTTCCCACATTGTGTTTTGCGTGCGTTCGGTGTCGCAAACACACTGTTCCCAGCCGCGCCGTTAACCGAGCGCGTCGCCAGTGCGGCCTTGGCTGTCGTCTTGCAGGAGCGCGAGGCGCTTGGCCAGCGTTCGCCTTCGCTCCAGGCGCGCATTCGTGATCTGGGTTGCCGCGGATTCTACGGGGCGAACCAGGGAGGCAGGTCGGGCGGGGTGGTTGCGATTCTTGCGCCCTCGCATATTTCGAGAAGGCACCCTTCCGATTTACCTGCTCACGTGCTGGGGCCCAGTCGGATGGCGACGGCCGACGTCGCGTGGGCTGCGCCGGGAGGGGAAGTTTTAGTTGCGGTCTACTTTGCCTCAGGCGAAGGGATGAGTGCTGCAAATGCAGCCTTGCTGGTCAAATTGGCACGTCACCTGGCGGTGCTCCTCAACTGTCTTGGTCGTGATTTGCTCGTGCTCGGTGACTGGCGTCTGGCGCTGGAGTTGCGGAGCAATCGTTGACTAGGCGGTGCTCGTGGGTTTTTTTTCGCCGCTCCGTTCAGGCTCGCTTGTTTCCTTGAGCAGCCAGGCAGTCTTCTGGTTTATGCTCCAGTGTTGCCTGGCCTGGCGGCGCGAGTGAAGTGCCCCGCAGTTGTGGGTGATGGCAGCGTGGAGGTGCTGACGGTCGCCCTGCGTGTGCGCGCCAAGTTGCCGGGCCAGCTTCGCGCCCGTCGTGCCCCGAGGTTCCGCCGCCAGATGTGGGCGGCTTCCATTCGATTGGAGAGACGTGGGCCGACCGGCTCTTCGCGCTCAGACTGACGAGGACCTGGGTTTTGTTTTGGATCCGATGTTGGTTGGGTCGGTTTCGAATGTCAAGGTTTTCATGATTGCGTCGACGGGGGGAAGGGCGGTTCGACGTCTGGTCGGGGTGGCTCTTTTCGTGCCGAGTTTATCCAGTCCAAGTGGCCACTTCCTGTCAAGAGGCTGCAGCGTGGAGCTGAGTGGCGTGCCCGGGTGGCGGCCCCACAGCGCGGCGTCGACTGCGAGGGGGTCAGAGAGCGCGTCGTGAAGTTGACTGGCAAGCCCCTGGTCGGCCGCGGCGGCTGCGCGGGGTGGTCGACATCGCAGCGGGCCGATCCCGTTGGCGAAGGTGCTGGCGGGGCATTTTTTTCCTGGCGGGGTGCATCGGCTGCTCTTTCTGCGTGGGCTTCTGTGTTCAATCTGTCGGGTTCCCGCCTTGGTTCTTAGGCGAGTGGCGATTTCGAGATGATGGTTGGTCGCGTTGAGCGGCAGCGCGACGTTCGCATGGCGGCGCGTGAGAAACGTGACCGCGCGAGGGAAGTAGTGGGATGGCAGGGCCTGCGAGAATGGGGCCAGTTCAGCCCATCGGTCTACGTGGTTGCAAGCAGCTCAAGAGATGCAAGAAGTAGGTAGCGAGCAGTCACCGCGTGAGCTGGTAGACCGAGAACTCCGTAAGCGGATGGATGTGTAGTCGGTCCACGGGGAGTGCGAGCTGGAGGTGCTGCGGGACTGTGGAGTCTGGGCCCCGCTGCCGTGCGTTGCGGTGGCCTTCGTGCGGGAATCAAGTGGGAGACGGATGTTGGGCCTTTCAAGCTGCAGCCACGCTCTCTATGGTTTCTGTTCCCGGAGGCGCTTAGAGCATTGGCGGCGCGCTTCGTGAGACGTGGGCAGCCCTTGGGCTGGCCGTCGCAGAAGATCAAATTTTAATTGGCTCGGATTCCCAAAGGAGGTGGGGCAAGACTGGCTGCGCTCATCCACGCGATTGTTCGGTTATGATGTCGAGCGCGTCGTCCGTTATTTCAGGAATGGCATGATGAGTTTCCAGTGGGATGGCACGCGGCAGTCGGCGTGGGTGCGCATCAGCGGGGCCCACGTTTCTGTGCTATGCCGTGGCGGAGATGTCAGAGCCGTTGGGGGGGGGGGGGGCATTCCCAGGCGGTGGTGATGGACATGTGAAGGTGCTTCGGCACGGGGGGCATCGGCATCTGGGTAAAAGAGGCAAGTGCAGTATGGCTTCCAACGCGTTTATGATGGCAGTTGATCGCGTCGTGCAGGATGCCCAGAACGATTAAAGAGTTCGGGTCGGTCTCAGAGTCGCGGAGCGGAGCTCTGGGCAAGGCATTTTGCCTGGCTGTTCCCGCGCCGCGAATCGGCACGCTGTGCTGATGGTGCGCGAGCTGGTGCGCGTCCAGGAGCTGCGTCCGACGGTCCATCCAAGAGCCTTAAATGACGATGGTGCGCTGCAGCGGGTGGACCAGGACGTCGGCGAGGTGACTAGGTCAGTGAAGACCGCGAGGGTGTTCGAATCTGGCATGAGAAGGCTCTGCTCAGCCTCTGAAGTCGGGCTAGGTGAGCGCGACGCGCGCGGGGCCGGCCAAGTTCCCCTTTGGCTTCGAATGCTGAGACTTGCGAAGCGGGGGCAGATGAGGGGCCTCGGACGTTACATTCGCGCGGTCGCGAAGTCTAGGGTGATCAAGCTTGGCGCTCGACTGGGTCGAGTTAGATTGTTGCAGAAGACGTCGGGCGCCGGGATGTGTTCGCCGTGGCGGACGGGGTTTCTGGCAGGAGCAGCTCACGGCAGTTCGGTTTCAGATCAGCCATATTGCGATAGTAAGAAACTGAGACAGACCGTTGGGAT